CCAAGCTCTTTCCATTGCAAAACTGAACAAACTTACATACTTACCGCATTTGTAAGCAATAGAACTCGTGCAATGACCATGAGTTTAAACCAGAGATATGTCCACTAAAGCCATTGATTTGGTTCTTTCTTGCAGAAGAAGAGGAGGAGGATTTGGAGTTTATCTGGTGTCCTGCTGGGGAGGTGTAAAGAAGCAAAGTTCACACACATGACCCTGAGCTAATGAGTGCGTTATCCCCACTGAGGCTGCTCTCCGACTTCATCAGTCATCCTGCCAATCAGTCAGTCAACGCCAGGTCAGTGGAAACAGCCCAGCTCCAGCTCCAGTGCGACCTGGCCATGTAGGACTTTCATTCATGTTTTTGAGTCAAATCATCAATTCCAGAAAAGGCATCAGATTAGTGATCATGTTTGTTATGTTTGATAAATAAGGCATCAAACACTTTGTTTATTTAAAACTAAGTAAAAATGTGTCAAATTAAGCAAAGTCCTTCATTTGCATGGACAACATTACATTCTAAAAACTACCCATCTAATTGGTTAAACCGATATTGATTGGATTGATGAATATACTGGTCACAATGATCGGTTCCCACAAAGGGCGCAATTCGGGCGTTCTGCTCTCCCAAAATTCCATCCGATGGGCGGGGGAGCGACTGAATTTTGCGTTGCATTATGGGTAACACTTGCCTTCGCAACTTCCGGTTCTCTCTGCCCGGCGCATTTTCTCTAAATGGTTGTGTGTTTTCGTCATTTTCTGTATGCAAATACATTCCCGTCTCTAACTAGTGGCATATCGCGCAAATCATCCGTCCAATTCACATTCTTCCCTCTTAGCTGAACTTCATTCTCATTGTTACCATCTGTCACTCGCACACACAGCCGTTTTTGTTCACTCTGCTCGCTGTCATCTTCTTCTAAATCTTCATAAACACCATCCGCTCGTTGAACTAGCAACAACAATTCCTCCTTTCGTTTTCCCACACTGCAAATACCCTTTCGCTTCAACCTTTCACGCAATTCAGGCACTGTCAATCGCTTGTTGTTTTCATGAGCCATATTCGCCATTGTATGAAATCAACCGGAAGTGAACTGGGCAACAAACGGTGTCATTTTTTGATCACAGCGCCGCTCAGTGGATGGAATTTTGGGAGAGCAGAACGCCCGAATTATATTGGTTTAAGAGACAACCACTCAGAGATTGTTTTTTTAACCCAAAGATCGGTCGGACACATATCAACTAGAACAACCAATAAACTGGTGAAATGTAATACATTGTTTCAACCTGATATACATCTTCTTAAATCTACAAAGTTTTCAAAGGCAGCCATATCTTTGGACTTTCAAGCCACCACTGTGAACGATGAACTTCCCTATTACTCGAAGTCTCTCCCGAACAATTGTTTCACTTTGACTCAACTGTCAGTCATCGTACAGCACTGACAACATGCAGAATATATGGGATACATTACACAGTAGCTGTGCCCTGCCCTCAACCCCAGCATGCACTCTGGTGGTTCCACTGGATCCAGGTCTGGCTTATGTCTGTCCTGAACACCAAGAAGTTGGTGAGGAGAGGGAAGTGCATGGTGCTTGGAAGATGGAGTCCAGGCCTGTATCTGACTCGGTCTCTGTAATGAACACTTCAAATGACTTTGGGTAACAAACCAGGCCTAGTGGGTGGGGGAGAGATGCAACTTAAGTAAGGAATCTAAATCACTCTGTTGTTTCCACTTTAGTTACAGTGGTCTGCCCCATGTGCTCCTGCAAAACCCAACATTGATGGAATCCTGACGCTGGCCTGACCCTGGCATGCGGTCCTCCTGGCTGTTCATCAAAGATCTTTGTGCTCATCGCACGTGATGACATTTGATCTCATAAAAACTCAAGGCATTTGAAATCCATTGAGATCACATAAAAGACAACGCACAGGCCAACAAACACTCACACTGTGGTTTACTCAAGCAACATGCAAATCCTTAGTGCACAATACAACAAGCCAACAAAGAAAGATTTACCTCAGTGAGTCAAAGCAGCTCCAGTATACAGGCTTGAAGAATGTGTGATTTCCTTGACTAATTAATGAGCCAATGCCACATGAAACAACACTTAACAGAACAAGCCAGTGTTGAATTGGCCATTATAGAGTGGCTTCCAATCGTTGTGAAGTCCACTAATCGGGGATGTGAGCTGGGTTTAGACCGTTCAGACTGTTTTAAGTTTTACCCTAATATGATGTCTTTTTGCAGTAATGAGCATCTTAATATTAAAAAAATATAGTGCACCAAGCATCTGCCTATAAAGCATGATTCTTACTATATGAGGGTCAGTAGACTGTTCATAACACTAAAGCTCATATTGTGTGTTTACAATCATCATGGTAAACCCAGGTTGTGCCAACGGTCACCATGACTTCATATTCAGAGAGAAAAGAAAACATGTGTCAGGAAGGATGTGGTTCTGCTCCAGTCCACCACATTATGACTATACAGCATCAAACACTATTTATCATCCTGAACAATATTTTCTGGGAAGTTACCACAAGGTTTTGGTGGCTAAAGGAGAGTGGTCGAGAAGATTGCAGTGCATGGAACTATTGCTGTGAAAAAATAATGACAACAATCATGTTATGTGATGTTGCAGAGGAGAAGGTGCAGAGGTGTCCAAGTCTGGAACTGTCTGAAAACATCATTCCTCGAATCCAGGTTAAACTAAATCTCTATATATCTGTTATTATTAGTGCTTTTGGCGTTCTGTGCTGTTTTAACATTAGCTGAACAATGGTCTCTCCTCTGACCTTCCAACTGTGAAGCAATCAGCCAAAAATTATTCATTCCATTTCTATATGCTATTTTTTATTTCATAAGTGAATAAAGGTTCAACATTTCAATCAGGACAGAACAAAGGATATCACTGACTGGAACGTGTTTCAGGAATGTGTTTGGGAAACATTCACCAACATCTTGTCCAAAATACTCTCAAATCAAGCTGTTTATCAACCATTGCTGCTCATCTTGTATAAGTCAAATACAAACGTCTACACAAACAACTTCTACATATACAATAAGACAATATTGACAACACATGCAACAAACATACATGTCTTGCACACAGCTACAGTAAGAACGGTGTTGGGAACAAAGATGAATGCTCGGTTTAGTTTGAGATGAAATGTAACCCTTGTGAAGACAGAAATGGAACACAAGACCAAAAGAACAATGGGAGATTTACTGACCCTGACCACAGTGGAAGCTATCAGACCTGTAGGCCTCCATGCTTTGTTTGGACGGAGGTGGGCAAGACGGACGAGACCACAAAAACACTGAGATAGCATTACACACCAAACTATATTTGGAAAGACTTCAAGAAAATAGAATATACATAGAAAAGGAAACTTGATGAGATAATGATTATTGCATGACCCATTTATAGTCTCTTCAAGCCACTGTGAGAAATGACCTAACCCAGTCAAGAAAGCACTACCACTAACTGCTACCATTATTTAAACAGAGTAATTTGTGTGAATGTTTTTATAGCAACTAAGCCTGCTTTCTATGGGAAGGTGTGAAACTTTCCAAATGCTTAACCTGTCATTTTCTATTAGAGCTACAGAAATTCACTATTTCCCTGATGATTTAAACGCGGAGAGATGTGCCAAGTGGAGAAATCAGAGAAGAAAACGAGAAAATTATTGGAAAATCACAGTCAGCCTGGATGCAGCAGAAACGGTGTAATTATACAACGTTTAATATATAAGCAGTGAGTTCAGAAGGATGGATGAGGAGCATGTTGTGTGTACTTATGATAAAGAAAGTGATTTATACAGGAGTAATGCATATAGGTACAGTAAGCTCTTGTCCTGAAATAGCATAAACATAATCTCAGATCAGAGACACAGATGGATGTCAGAAAGCCAGACTCGACACTGAACAGAGCCCAGGCTGGACCCATACCAGACCTAGGATTGTCTCAAGCCGCCAAGTAAACCCAGGGCCTTCAAGAGCACTTTGCACATGTCAACATGATTGGCTTTAGCCTATTAGCAACAATGTAGAACTCCTGAACAGTGGCAGACACCAGTCAGTATAATCAATGCATACTGTATATTTGTATGACTATTACGTTCATTGTTTAACTACAACCAAATATCTAGAAGTAAGCATTGTACCAAAGTGTGTAACCAAACCCACACTATAACAGTTATTCCCCAAGCGCTGGGGGCCTCTCAGGGGGGCCTCAGTTAAGCGCAATTAAGATTCACATCAAATCTGCAAACATTTAGTTAGAACTATGTACACAATAGTACATGTTATGACTACATAAATTATCATTTTGATATTGATATAGTAATTTTGTTTATATTTAAAAGAAAAACATGACAATCTTTTAAAATAAAGTGTGATTTGAATTTGGGTTGGATTTTTTTGTATAAATATGTAATAAAGATATATGGCTATTCTCTAATTTATTGCTGGGAAATTGACAATTTTGTAGTGTGTTATTGATTAAGAGACCTATAGAAGTTCAAATGTAACTTGAACATCAAAGGAGAACATAAGAGTAAAAGTAGTTTGTTTACACAGAACATTTGGCAGACCAGACACAGCGCTTTACACTTAGTGCCAGTAATTCAGTTTTTGTCATAATGTCTGCAAGACTATTGTGGTGTAAAGTGATATATCATGTCATTAGTGATTCTGACAACCGTTTGGCCAGAGGGAGATTGTGACATTCCCCTTAATGGAATGAAAATCCATCGTGGAATCTAAATGTAATGTGAATAATGGGAATGATGTGGTCTGGTGGTTACCCTAAACTCGCTGTAACCCCGAAGTCTGAGGGCATCACAGACACTTGTCCACAATCCTTAGCAAAGCACTGTTCCAGGAAAGTGAACAAACTCAATGGCAGAAGTCCAAGCAGAGGGACCCCACAGACTTATGAGAGCTTAAAACTACTTAGGAAATAAGTTTGCCCCAAAGTAAAGAAAACGACTCTCACCTTAAACAAGTGCTGTTCTTGCCTCCAGCTCCCATGCAAGGATATTCCACAGTCAGGATTTTATTTGCAGGACACTCCGTTCTGAGAATAAAAAATAAATTAGGAAAGGCTCAGCGTGTCGCACACTACCCGCGGCTGCATTGCCTATTGCAATAGGCAGCTGCCATATTGTGAAATATTCACCAGAAATCACTATTGCACATGGGCAATATTGAGTGAGAAAACATGGACTGTGAGTTCAGTTGAGGAGAATTTGTATTTAGTGTAAACATGGGGAGGCTACTTTTCAGATTCATGCTGCTAAAATCTGGAACAATCTTCCTGAAGATGTGAGACAGGTCTCCTCTCTGACAATGTTTAAAACCAGGTTAAAAACTGTTCTGTAGCTGTGCATACAACTGAGGTATTTTATTTTTTTTTATCTTTCTTTTGTACTGTGATTATTTGTGATTTTAATGCTATTTTGTCTTGTTTAGCACTTTGAATTGCCTTGAATTGTGCTATACAAATAAACTTGCCTTGCCTTGCCTTAAATAAAAGTAAAAACTATTATTTTGACGTTTTTTTCACTATTTGTGTTTTAATATGCCAGGCAATTGTACTTATTTTTTCTTTATATGAGTTGTATGTTTGTTATATTGATTTAAACCAGACTTGTGTTATGATCACGGGACAAAAATAAGGTTTCATAACAAAAGCACATTTTTTCCCAGTTTGTTTTTGTCAAATGTCATGATTTTGTGGCGCAGTAAATTGTCCTGGCGCTATCTGCACTCTCCTCTGCACAGCCTTCCTCACCTCTTGAACTCGTCTCCAAAGCCCATTTAATAACTCGTGTCATGTTTTGTCTGAGAACAAGTGAAATGTTGGCTCATTTCACCGCGACCGATGTCCACAGTATTTGGAGTCCGCTCTTCCTTTTTTTTTTTTTTTTTTTTTTTGCATTCAGCGCGCGGAAATCACATCAGATTAGACGCACTGCTCCGGTTCATGAGGAGGTCCGTGCGCACTTTTGGCACATGCCGCGAGCAGCTTGTTTACACTCAATTACATTACAGAAACACGCTTGTTATTTGCAACACTGCGGAAGTGTGTTGTTAGCAGTTTGTGAAAGTCATTGACCACGTTTTAGAGACAGTTGATATAGATATATTATTTCCTATATCTGCATGTAAGGAAAGCATGATCCAGTGATGGTGATGATCCAGGACGTTAGACATTTTAGGACATTTATCAACATTTATCAACATTTATCAACATTTATCAACATTTATCGACATTGGTCATCTGTCCCTATGGACCAATGGCTCTATGTGTTTTTAATCATTGCACTTCTTGGGTTTGAACAGTTTGATTCTCTGATATGTGTTGGCGAATTCGACAATTTTGTAAGTAACTGTTGTGATTTAGGGCTATACTTATAATAATAAATATAATTGATTTGAAAATAGTCAAAACAAATTTAAGAGATGACTTACCTCGAGGTGTCCATTCCCAACGTGGTCCTGATAGAACTGGCGTCAGAATCCCACAGCAGAAGCAGCAGCACGCACACAGCACTGATGGGTAACAGAGAGGTCCCACAGAGATGAGCCATGTCCCCTCTGCTCCGGGGCTGGTGTGTGCGCGTGAGTGGAAGGCGCGCTCACATCTGCAGGTCCCACGCAGCGGCCCACAGCGCCTGAGAAACAGCGCTCTGTGAAAAGTGTCCAGAGGTGAAGCTTGTGCGCTGAGGAGGGGAGTGCACGTCCCCCTGGGCTTTACCCCCGCCTCTGCGAGCAGTGTGGTGGTGTGCAGTGGTGGAGAAGCACTCAATGTTGTTACTGAAGAAAAAGAACGGATAATGGACTATGTTAAAAAAATATATAAAATATAAAAAAGAGCAAATTTTGATAAAAGGAATAATCACATAAACATTTTTTATAGGCCTATGGATGAAATACTCAATTATGAATATGTCGATGCCACTGTCTTATCTGCATGTTAAAGCTGGTTTGCAAAAATGTAAATAGGAAATAATAAATTTCCATTGCCTCCTGTATCAAAGTTAAAGATTGATACAGGAGGCAATGGAAATCAGGAAGTGGGAAGCATGTGGACCATCAACAGAGACGAGGGGGCCTTTACTTTGTCTCACACATAGGACTCTCTTCTCCAGAGACCACAGCGCAGCAGGGGGGTGTGGTCAGTCTGATAAATCTACTTAAGGCGCGTTCACACCGCCGACGCCGGAACGCTGACGCCTCGCACACCAGACACACATTCTCTAATTTTCAGACGCAGGGGTCTTCACACCAGAAGTCCTGGCCAGTGGTGGCACCTGCCGGAAGTGGCGGAAGTAGCGGGCGGACTTCTAACGGCGTTAAGCTACCGGCTTTTTGTGTAAAGTTCTTCTCCAATAATGCATCTCTGCAGCGTCTCTGTGTCCAGAGACCTTCCAGACACTTTTTGTAAGTGTATGTGTTCAGTATGCACAGTATGTGTTCACGGAGGCGCGCCATACGTTAATTTTATTATTGAACGGTACTTCCGCATCGGCGAACAGGCTCGAAGCAGTTGCATAAAGTCACGGGAGCATGAGAACACATATGTTCACAAGCACTATGTCCCCCATTCAATTTGGAGAGACGTGAACCAAGAAAGCTTTTGAGTATTTTAATGAGAGGTGGTTTGGCGCCCTAGGCCCCGGTGCGGCCTTCAGTTAGGGGAGGCTCCTGCGCTGGGGCGCGTAGAATCCCCCCGGGGCCTAGGTACTGGTGGCGGCATCTTGGCAGCGTGAAGCAGATTTGAAGGCAGGTTGGAGGCAGGGTGAAGAGGAGGAGGAGGGGAGGCGGTGGATGCGAGGCTTCGGGAGGCCGTAAAATGGGAGTTGCTCCGCTTTTAAGCGGCTGGTCTGTCCGGCACGGTGTGATTGGAAGGGGGCGTTTGCTGCGCCATAGGCTGAGGATGTGAGTCGGCCCGGAGGGGGTAGCTTGGGCTGACGTCTTCTAAATTGAATTTTCGCGAGCTACATTTCAATTTGGAGAGACGTGAACCAAGAAAGCTTTTGAGTATTTTAATGAGAGGTGGTTTGGCGCCCTAGGCCCCGGTGCGGCCTTCAGTTAGGGGAGGCTCCTGCGCTGGGGCGCGTAGAATCCCCAAAAAGGCTGTGAGTTGATGGGGTTTTGCAGCCTGGTTTGCAGGGGACAGACGTCGTGGCTGCTCTATGCTGTGACCGCTATCGCTATGCTGTGACCGCTATCGCTATGCTGTGACCGCTATCGCTATGCTGTGACCGCTATCGCTATGCTGTGACCGCTATCGCTATGCTGTGACCGCTATCGCTATGCTGTGACCGCTATCTCTATGCTGTGAACCGTTTATGCGCTAACCATTTTTTGCTATGCTGTGACCGCTAACACTAACGCTGTGACCGCTACCACTAACGCTATGACCGCTATCACTGACGCTATGACCGCTATCACTGACGCTATGACCGCTATCACTGACGCTATGACCGCTATCACTAAGCTATGACCGCTATCTGTTGTGACCGTTATATGCTGTGATCGTTATAGCGGATACTCAGCTGCTGCCGCCACCAGGAGTTTTGCGAGTGATTTATGGAGATGCCAAGAGGCGCTGGGCTGCGAGGATAGTCGGAGTGTCAGGCCTGATGTATGAGGAGAGGGCCGATGATGACCAGCGGCCCAACTGCTGAAGGGCAGAATGGGGGAGACCCAGGGACGCGGCACGCGTGGCGGCGCCTATTCTGAAGGAGTGGGCTGTGTAGAGATAGGGAGACAGGTTACAAAGCAGCAGTACAGACTTGAGTTGGGCTCTGAACCAGTTGGAGGACATCGGGAGGTTATCGAGAGTGAGAATGACGGTCCGTTGAGATCTCCTTTCCGTGGGCGGAGGCGAGTGTAGTGCATCATGGATCAAGCGAGACTGTATGATTTCAGAGTGGAAGGTGAGAGGCCCATCTTCATGTAGGATGCCGCGGAGGAGATGAGGAGGCGAAGAGACGGAGGGATTAGTCCAGGGCGAGGGATTCCATGCAGGGGATCTGGCATGGCGATGGGTTGGCAGAAGGGCAGAGGCGTCGGAACTCCTGGAATTTGAAACGAGAGAGAGAATCAGCGAGACAATTAAGGTGACCAGGGACGCGACGAGCAGTGATAATAAAATTGTTCAGGACTGAGAGCCATGTGATACGTCTAAGAAAAGTCATGATTTGGGGAGAGGATGAACCTCGACAACGTCGAGGTTGTCGCACATCACGGAAATCCTTTTCCTCTGCCACATATGGCTCCACAGCGCGCAGGCTACGGTCACGGGATATATCTCGTGGAGCGCGGAGGAGATGTTTTGAGGGAAGGCGTCGGGCCAGGGCCCGGCGAACCACTGGTCCTGAAAGAATCCCCCAAAACCCACGGACGGGGCTGCGTCCGTGAAGAACCGCAGGGCGTCCGAGGATAGGACGACGTTGCTGTAGAAAAAAGGAGACGCCATTCCAACGGCTCAGCAGGCGGGACCGGAACGCCAGGTCGGAGCGGCACCCCGCGGCCAGGCAGACCGCGTCGTTGAGGGAGGAGACGGAGCCGGCGAGGGAGAGGAGTCTGGAGATGAAGGAGCGACCTTGAGGAATTATGCGGATGGCGTAATCAAGACGCCCGAGAAGGGAGAGCAACTGACGCTTCGAAAGTGACAGGGATGACGGGGCAGACCGGGAGATAGCGCGGATGCGCTCGAGTTTGTCCAGCGGGAGGGAGGCCTCCGTGGCGCGCGTGTCGAGGCGGATGCCGAGAAACTCTAGAGCTGTGGCGGGCCTGTGGTCTTCTCCTCGGAGAGGGGGACTCCCAGGGCGTAGAAAGCGAGCTTGAGGTTGCGGAGAGAGCTCCCGGAGCCGTCCGAGGGTGGGTCTACCACGAGAAAGTCATCGAGGAGATGCAGGACGGAGGGGAGCCGTACATAATTTAGCAGGATCCAGCACGGCGCCTCCGCAAGAGAGGGGCGCTGGAGGGAAGGGGCTGTTGATGCTCGGGCGGGCCCGGAGCGGGGACAGGAGAGGACGAATATGAGACGCTTCTTCCTGGAGTGCTTGCGGGTGGCGATGCCCGTCGGGTTAGAGCGAGACGGAGAAAGGGGCCAATGACGTAGCACACGGACACCTCCCGCGCCCGAGCCGCGTGCCGACTTGGGGCTCACGGAGAGCCGGGAAGAGGTTGCGGGACACGAGACGCCGAGGGACCTAAACAGAGCTTGCAGTCCAATGTGAGGAATTTAAATAGAGTTTGCAGTCCAGAGTGAGGTATTAAAACCGGGCCCGTAGTCCAAGTGAGGCGTTTAACTGAGAGCCTGCAGTCCGGTGTGAGGGAGTTAAATGACCTGTAGTCCAAGGTGAGGGATTAAACTGAGAGCTTGTAGTCCAGAGAGAGGGATTCAACGTTGCCCGCAGTCCTAAAGAGGGATTTATAACAGAGAGCTTGTAGTCCAAGTGAGGGATTAAGCCGAGAGCTGCAGTCCGGTGTGAGGGATTTAACAGTTTTACGGTCCAAGTGAGGGATTAACTGAGCCCGCAGTCCAAGTGAGGAGTTTAAACTGAGAGTTTACAGTCCAGTGAGAGGGATCCAACAGAGCCTGCAGTTTTATTTATTTATTTATTTATTTATATTTATTTATATTTATTTATGTTTATTTATATTTATTTATAGTTATTTATAATTATTTATAGTTATTTATAATTTTATATTTATTTATAATTATTTATATGTATTTATTTATTCATTTATTTATTTTTAATATATAGCGTTCCAGATATAGGCAGTACCATGTATGCAGTTCCATGTATAACCGTACCATATGAGCAGTTCCAATATAGCGGTTCCATATATAGGCAGTTCCATATATAGGCAGTTCCAGATACGGTACAACAGTTCCAGGTATAAGTAGTTCCAGATATAATTTAAACAGCGCTTGCAGTCCAAAGAGAGGGATTTAAACAGAGCCTGCAGGCCAAAGTGAGGGATTAAAACAGAGCGTGCGGTCCAATATGAGGGATTTAAACAGCGCTTGCAGTCCAGAGAGGGATTTAAACAGAGCCCGCAGGCCAAAGTGAGGGATTAAAACTGAGAGCATGCGGTCCAATGAGAGCGATTAAAACTGAGGTCTTGCATTCCAATGTGAGGGATTAAACGGAGCTTGCAGTCAGAGTGAAGATTTAACGGAGCTTGGTTAAAGAGAGCCTGCAGACTAATGCGAGGGCTTTAAACTGAAGCCTGCCCACCAGCACTGGGCCAACTGAGCCTGCAGTACAAAGCGAGGGGAAAAAACCGTCCGCGGATCTCATACTTTACCCACAGCGCCAGAAGACAAGGGACAACACGACGGGACCACGCCGTACCGGCACAAGGAGACAGGGATGCGCACGGCTCCCACCGCAACGGGCTAGACCGGCCGTATGCAGCAGCAGGCTGCGACGAGACGAGCAGCGGCAAACCCGCGGAAAGAGCCCGCAAAGAGGAGAGCGGCAAAGACCCACGGACCACAGCACGAGACCCGCAGCAGGTGCAGCGACGCGGAGGAGGAGCAGACCACACGCAGCAAGACAGAGGACAGCAGGGACACGCACGAGTAACGTGAGTAGACAAAGCGATTCCTCCAGAACGATTCTTTGCGAGGCTGCAGGAGCATGCGAGGCTTCGGGAGGCCGTAAAATGGGAGTTGCTCCGCTTTTAAGCGGCTGGTCTGTCCGGCACGGTGTGATTGGAAGGGGGCGTTTGCTGCGCCATAGGCTGAGGATGTGAGTCGGCCCGGAGGGGGTAGCTTGGGCTGACGTCTTCTAAATTGAATTTTCGCGAGCTACATTTGTCAACCCTGGTTTCAGTCCTGGTGTAGCTCCTGTTTTGGCTGTTTACAAGTATTGGAAATCAGGAAGTGGGTAGCATGTGGATCATCAACAGAGACGAGGGGCTTTTACTTTGTCTCATACATATGGGACTCTCTTCTCCAGAAACCACAGCCCTGCAGGGGGTGTGGTCAGTCTGATAAAGCTACTTAATCTGTTGGACTGACCATGTCCAGTAAGAAGTGTCTTGCCTCAAAAACCAATTGAGCCACTGTCGCCCCATATTTTCAGACCAACACAGTTACATTTCACCAAAAAAACTGACAAGCCAAATGACAGACTCACGTGATGCTAATTCTGCTAAGTGGCTAATCAGCTTGAAAACCATAATATAAAGGTGTTCCTCACCTACTATAAAAAATGTTGTTTGGCAACAGAAATAACCTAAACATATAATCTATAATGTAGTCTTTTGCATGGAAAAAACACTCCTATTTGACACTTTTGGTTGGGAGCCCTTTTTTCACTTTTTCTGTCTGAAAAAGTTAATCTGAAATATAGTGATAGAACCAAATTGTACTGAGAGCAAGGAACTTGTTATTCTACTATTTTTTGTGTTGTAGATTCTCCAGTGTTTACATAAATAATGCCATCATGACTGTTTGTTTTTATAGTAAATCCACAGTAGGGTGTTGATCAGAAAAGGTCAAATAAGATTTGTAATAATGTGCAAGCCAACTCAAACATGAAAAATGAAATCCAAACGCCTTTTATCAAATGCAGTGGAGCAGAAATAACAGATTATCTGTTTTCAAATGCTTTCTGAATTCAAACGTAGTAAAAATAATGTAATAATGTAGTAGTAGTATAGTAGTAGGTTTGTTTATTCGGTCATACAATAAATATAATTTTTTTGACATTAAAAAGGCATTAAAAAGGACAAGGTTACAAAAATGTTTTAGCTTATGTCAGTAATGTACATGCTTTAACAAAGATGCAGTATATAGTAAAATGTAGTAACTGCAAAGTGTGTTTAGAGTAAAACATTTTTTCCCTGTGCTGTGTTCAGCAATTGTGCAAATATCGATGTCATTCAGGTGGCCTCATGCTCCAGCTTGTTGTTGCAGTGTTGATCAGCAGGGTGCAGCTTCAGGCTTTTTGCACATCATCAAAACATTGCCAAGAAGTGGAACAAAAACTTGTATAATGGAAAGCAACTTGTATAATTCTCCACACCAGCATGATTAATCTCAAAGTAACAGTTCTTCTTCACAAACATGTCTTAGCATCTGTTACAATGACATTTAGGCAAACAGTGTATGTACTGTAAAGCCTATATATTGCTGGCCCTCTACAGTATGCTCCAATACTGAGGAGAAAACAGCATGGTTAGCAGAGCAAAACACAAGGCTTTTATTTTAATTCCAATTTATGAATGACTCACATTTTGTTTTATACTCTTCCCAATCCAGAAAATCGTCTACAAAGAAAACATTGTTTGACATAATTTGAAGGACTACAAGTTATTATAGTGATTTCTGACTTCAAATAGAATTTTACTTGATTAAGCCAATATGTTCATGTTCACAACCACCAGGCCCCCAATGGAAATCCCGGTTCAGTGGTCAGCGAGTGGTCAGACAGTGTTAGGTTAAGCCCATACACTCTATGCATATTCCCCTTGGTACTTTTGCTTCTTGTAGCCTTGAGTCAATAGAAAACAGCTGCTTGTATTCACCATAAATGAATCATGGATGAAATATACATGTACTTACAGGGACAACCTCGCCGAGTGCCCCAAGAGAAACATCGTGGCCCCTCTTGGCACTAATCCCTGCAGAGCCAAATAAATTCAGGAAAAAATACAAACGAACATTATTAAAAGACCACCATAAAACGCAGCTGTTGAAATGGCTTTGTCTGCTTCATTACTGAGACCGCACATGTGACTGTTTTAACCAAAAAATGCAAGATACTTCGCTTTGTATGGCTGATTATTTTGAGTATTTTGTGTGATATCCACACACTCAGAATAATTATATATTCATTGTGAAAACCTGGCTGCATTCATAGCAACTTTGATCAGCCTGAGGAAGCCTGACCACTATTGTGAAACTATGAAAAGTGAAAACAGTTTGCGTAGCAATCCTCCTGTGAGACGCGAGAAGCGAGGAAGATTAAAACGTTACAGTTATTATGACATGTGAGTTCATCACAGGGTGGCAGATCGAGTGCGTAGCAGCATTTTCATAGAGACCCTTTAAGATTGCATTTATTGTTTGTACCGAGAGGGTCTGAGTTCATCAATGGCATGTAATTGTGTTCATTTCAATTTAAACCATACAGCAGTCCAAGCGAGCAAAGCCAACAAAATCAGACTAGATGCAACATGCGGGCCAGAAAAAACATACTTTTTTTGTGTTTTGCAAGTCCAGACGTTGCTGCAGTGATGTTTTGGTAAATTAGTCAAACACGCGACAGATTAGACAGAATTTAAACACTTTACACCATTACAGACTATGGACCATTACAGTTTAATGCCTCCCCTTAAATCTTAAGCTCGGGTACAACTTTCAAAACACACAAAAAAAGATAATAATCAACTTTGCTCTACAGTTTTTGACTATAGTTGCTCTGTCACACCTTCCGTTTAATTAAAAACAGGGGACCACCCTCGGCCAGCTAGTTAGGTCTAGTTAGGCGACAGTATGCAAAAGATGCAATGCTGAATGAATATAACTGATTTGAGCTCATTTCCATCGGTAGTCCCTACGCCAGGTCTTCAAGAGCAGCCTAGAAAAGATAATTTTTTACACATCCTTAAAACCATTAAAGTTCTTCTCGCTGAGAGATTTACGTTATAAAAATTCACTTTCTATAATAACTACCTGTAGCCCTCATTTGGAGTTGGCCCATATCCTGCCTCGATGGTAAATGTCATAATCCTATGATCGTTAGCGCTGGGATTCCCAACTTGATGCACCATACTTATAGTCAGCGCAAAACGCGCTTTCATTGTTCTTCGGAAAAAATAGGCATGGATACGTGCGATAGGTACCTCTGTGAACGTAACATGCGTTTAGTCAAACAGTGTGTGTTCCCATGGGGCCCATCGCGCGCAGCTTGTGTTACCGAGACTTGTAATGACCAAAGAGCGAGTAGCGAGAGTGGTGCACCCTGCTTCTATGATCCCCGTGTTGCATTTGTGTTTTTATTGTAGAGTTCTATAGGTGCTGCGGGAAACCTCTAACTGTTGTGAACAGTTCAACACGTATGGCCGTCTTTTTTTCTTTTGTAATAAACACTTGCTACGCAGGCCATAATAATACAAAGTCGATTACATCAGTGTCAGAATTGTTCATGTGGAAGTGGGAAACTCCTCCTTGCACAACGCCCAATAGTTTGTGGTTGGTGATAACTGTTTAGGCAGCAGTCCAGATGTTAATAGATATTGAACACTTTGTCTGAACTTTATGGACAAATGTTTGACTTACGTAGACTTCCCTGCAGTGCGTTCCTAGCAGAGGTGTGAGACTTAACTAGCAAAGCCAACTACTTTGGTTTTGAGGCAGGACACGATCTTGTATAAGCAGAGTGCGCACTATATACAGTGCAGTCGATGGGTTGACTCACATTGAACTGAAGCTGAGTGGTCATCATGGTGTAGTCACCTGGCAGTGATAGTGGCAGCCACCACGCACTGACCGCCCCACTGGAGGAGTAGACAGTAGTCAAACATAGTTTGACCTGTTTAAGTTTAAATTTACTGTCATGTTTTATAGATATTTCGACGTGTGGAGAATACCCTCACGTTTAAATCTGATGAGGAAACATTTAAAACCTTTAAAGCATATTTGAGTAATATTACAACATTCGTCCTCACCGTGAGGGGGCTTGCATTACCAAACCTGACTCAGGAGGCTCATTAAAGATTCATGGGAACACTTGAAGACTATTTTCCATGGAATGTCCTTCTTGTTCTGCTGTAATGTGCGCAACGATGACACTGAAATTATCCCAGCTTTCAATAACCATTGAAACATTGCAACCTACTGTTTAAACTCTTCTGATCAACTGCGGCCTGGTCCGCACCCATACGCGCGTAGTCTAGTCCGAGCTGGACCGCACCAACGACCGCCCTGGAAAGACAATCCGCAACCACATTGGATTTGCCGGCAATGTGTCGTATGTCCGTGGTATACTCCGAGATGAACGCCAGCTGGCGCTGCTGGCGGGCGGACCACGGCTCGGCCACCTTAGACATGGAGAATGTAAGGGGCTTGTGGTCAACAAAAACCGTAAACTCACGGCCCTCCAGGACGAAGCGGAAGTGGCGGATTGCCAACCAAACAGCGAGCAGCTCTCTGTCAAAGGTGCTGTATTTACGCTCCCTGGGGACTAGCTGGCGGCTGAAAAAGGCGAGCGGTTGCCAGGTACCCTCGACCCACTGCTCGAACACGGCACCCACGGCATAGTCGGACGCGTCAGTAGTGAGGGCAACCGGGGCCCCAGGTGACGGGTGGACCAACATAGTGGCCTGGCACAACGCAACTTTTGTGTCCTCGAAGGCCTGGTCCGCCTCCGCGGTCCAGACAACGTCCTGGTTGGGGGTCGTACCCTTAAGGGCCTCGTAGAGCGGGCGCATTACGTGAGCCGCTTGTCGAATGAACCGATGGGTAGAAGGTAACCATACCGAGGAACTCACGGAGCCCCCGGGCCGAGCGTGGGCGTGGAAAAGTGGAAACGGCGTCCACCTTCGAAGGGAGGGGGGCAGCCCCCTCACTGGTGATGAGATGCCCGAGGAACTTTATGGACGGCACCCCAAAAACACACTTAGCCGGTTTAATGATCAGCCCGTGCTGGTCGAGCCGTGTAAAAAGAACTCGGAGATGTGTCAGGTGCTCCTCCTCCGAGGAGCTGGCGACGAGGACATCGTCCAAGTAGACGAAGATGAAAGGCATGTCCCTGAGTGCCGAGTCCATTAGCCGCTGGAACGACTGGGCTGCGTTCTTCAGGCCAAAAGGCATCCTGAGGAACTCGAACAGCCCGAAAGGAGTCACCACTGCCGTCTTCGGTATGTCCGCCGGGTGCACCGGGACTTGGTGGTAACCCCGCACCAGATCCACTTTAGAGAACACGGACTTCCCCGCCAAATGTACGGAAAAGTCCTGAATGTGGGGCACCGGGGTAACGATCGGGCGTGGTCGCATCATTAAGACGGCGGTAGTCACCACACGGACGCCACCCACCGTCTGGCTTCGGAACCATGTGGAGTGGTGAAGCCCACGGGCTGTCAGAACGGCGAATGACGCCAAGTCGTTCCATGTTGGCGAATTCAGCCTTGGCAGTCGTCAACCTCTCCGGATTGAGCCGCCGGGCCCTGGCGTGGATAGGAGGGCCTCTGGTTTCGATGTGGTGTTCGACTCCGTGTTTAGCCGTAGCAGCCGAGAAAGTGGGCCGCGTCAGGTCAGGGAACTCCACGAGGAGCCGCAGGTACTTGTCACCTTCAGCGAGCGAGCTGGAGAGACCATTGTATGTCCCCTCATCACGGACACACGCGAATGAGGAGAAGGTCAAAGCGTCCACCAGGCGGCCATTTTTGACATCCACGAGTAACCCCTGGGCGCACAGAAAATCTGCCCCGAGGAGGGGAAACGAGACATCGGCCGTGACAAAGTCCCATGTAAAGCGCTGGCCCCCGAAACATACGTCCACAGACTTTGTGCCATATGTCCGGATAGGGGTGTCATTGGCGGACGTTAAGGGCGGGCCATGCAACCCCCCAGCAGCATCGTCCACCGTAGCCGGCAGAACGCTCCTCTGGGCGCCAGTGTCACAGAGGAACCTGCGCCCGGACAGGGTGTCCACAACAAACAGCAGCCGGCCCTTCGCGCCTGCGCTCACGGCCACTACTGAGCGCAGGCCTTGGCGTTTCCCGTCGCGTTGAAACTGCATGGGGAGCGGCACCTCTTAGCTTTGGCCCCGAAACGTGCATGGAAGTAGCACAACCCAGGGCTGGCCGGGCCGTCAGTCACCATGCGCCCCCTAACAGGCAGAGCGGCCGCAGCAGGGGGGGTGTAGCTGCGTGTCGGGGCCAACACGTCAGGGACGAAACGATGGGTGGCCAGGAAGAACCGGTCCGCCTCCTCCGCCAGAGCACGTGGCTCCGTAATGGCTGTATTCGCGAGAGCCGTCTGCACGTGAGGTGGCATGTGTCGCAGAAACAGTTCCACAAAGAGGAAATTTGGCTCTTCACTGCCCAGCAGGTTTAACATCACCTCCATGTGTTCTGAGGGCCTGCTATCCCCCAGGCCCTGCATAGAAAGGAGGCGTCGGGCCCGTTCGGATCGTGACAGTTCAAAAATCTTCAGCAGATATGCCTTAATCCCCGCATACTTCCCGTGGGCTGGAGGAGAAGTAATGAAACTCACTGCCCTGGTCGCCGTGGAGCTCCCGAGCGCCGAGACGACATGGTAATAGCGCGTGTCATCGTCAGTAATTCCACGGAGGGCGAACTGAGCCTCCGCCTGAGCAAACCACGTTGCGGCGGACGTCTCCCAAAACTCAGGCAGCTTGAGAGCGGCGGACTGCGCCATACTGCTTTGCTCTGTATCTTGATCAGTCCCAGAAACTTCTGCGGGACTGACGTCGGGGTCACCAATGTGGTGCGTAAGGAGCGGAGTCGGAGGCGGTGTGTCAAACAGCGGTGACAAACGTACACGTTTTAATGCCATAAAACAGCCAGTGTAACAGAACTCCTCACACAACCAAAAACATTTTTCTTCATGGGAAAAACTGTGCAACCCTTTTTCCTGTCCCCCCGGAACCCCACCAGAGTAACCACAGTTCCATGGGTGAATTATGTAAACCACCACACTGTCATCATTATGACTTTTGGCTGTAGTCCGTTCATTGCTATTCACCCGCTGTCCCATAGTCTGCCATGGCATGATGATGGGACCCCCGACTCGTGGGCTGTACCCCCTCCCCGCCTGGGAGCTGCCTTCACACTTCACCCCCATTGCCTAGAATGAGTCTGGTGTGTTTGTGAATGGTTGGTGGTGGTCGGAGGGGCTGATGGCACATACTGGTTGCCTCGCTTCTGTCATTCTGCCCCAGGGAAACTGTGGCTATACAAGAATAAATGTAATCTAATTTATTTGAATTTAAATAAACACAGGTTTATCTTAAATTGGACCAAAATATGTCAACCTTAACTGACCCAGTTAGGGTAAATATTCTATTCTGTGAAACCACCAAACTGAGCACTTGTTTGATGGTTTTACATATGCAGCCAGCGAAAGTTCAATTTGGTAGACGTTAACCAAATTTACCCCTCCAGGCCGGCTCTCATCCCCAGCCTATCACTCAGCAGACGCCCCCTTCCAATCATCTGTACCGACTCGCAGCCGCATAAAAACGGAGCAACGCCCACTACCGGCCTCCTGAAGCCTCGCAAGCTCCTGCAGCCTCGCAAGCTCCTACAGCCTCGCAAAGAATCGTTCTGGAGGAATCGCTTTTGTCTACTCACGCTTACTCGTGCGTGTCCCTGCTGCCCTCTGTCTTGCTGCGTGTGGTCTGCTCCTCCTCCGCGTCGCTGCACCTGCTGCGGGTCTCGTGCCGTGGTCCGTGGGTCTTTGCCGCTCTCCTCCTTTGCGGGCTCTTTCCGCGGGTTTGCCGCTGTTGTCTCGTCGCGGCCTGCTGCTGCATACGGCCGGTCTAGCCCGGTGCGGTGGGAGCCGTGCGCATCCCTGCCTCGTTGTGCCGGTACGGTGTGGTCCCGTCGTGTTGTCCCTTGTCTTCTGGCGCTGTGGGTAAGTATGAGATCCGCGGACGGTTTATTCCCCTCGCTTTGTACTGCAGGCTCAGTTGGCCCCGTGCTGGTGGGCAGGCTTCAGTTTAAAGCCCTCGCATTGGTCTGCAGGCTCTCTTTAACCAAGCTCCGTTAAATCTTCACTCTGACTGCAAGCTCCGTTTAATCCCTCACATTGGACTGCAAGACCTCAGTTTTAATCCCTCTCATTGGACCGCATGCTCTCAGTTTTAATCCCTCACTTTGGCCTGCAGGCTCTGTTTAAATCCCTCCCTGGACTACGAGCTCTGTTTAAATCCCTCTCTTTGGACTGCAAGCGCTGTTTAAATCTCTCTCGGACTGCGGCTCCCAAAATGAATCCCTTACATTGGTCTGTGAGCTCTCAGGTTAATCCCTCACGGAACTGTTATATCTGGAAATGCCTATATCTGGAAATGCTTATAGCTGGAAATGCTTATAGCTGGAAATGCTTATAGCTGGAAATGCTTATAGCTGGAAATGCTTATAGCTGGAAATGCTTATATCGGAACTACTTATATCTGGAACTGTTGTACCGTATCTGGAACTGCTTCATATGGAACTGCTTATATATGGAACCGCTATATTGGAACTGCTCATATGGTACGGTTATACCTGGAACTGTTATGCAGTACATGGAACTGCATATATGGTACTGCCTATATCTGGAACGCTATATTTTAAAAATAAATAAATGAATAAATAAATACATATAAATAAACATATATAAATAATTATAAATAAATATAAATAAACATAAATAAACATAAATAAATATAAATAAATATAAATAAATTTAAATAAATAAATGAATTAAAAAAAATAGTTTAAACTCCTCACTTGGACTGCAGGCTCAGTTAATCCCTCACTTGGACCGTAAAACTGTTAAATCACTTGGACCGTAAAAAACCTGTTGAAATCCCTCACACTGAACAGCTACAACAACATTCTACTGCCGTGGCTTTGATACGGGATCATTGCTGTTATTATCTACGGACGCTGCAGCTGCTGCTGCTGCTACTGCTGCTGCTGCTTCATACGGCTACTACTGCTGCTGCTGCTGCTCCATACTGCTACTGCGCTACTACTGCTGCTTCATTTACTTGCCATCTCTCTTCACTTGCATCTCTTTTACTGAAACACTGATCAGCTACGACAACATTCTACTGCTGTGGCTTGATACAGGATTTTACTGTAATCTCTAAGGATGCTGCTGCTGCTGCTGCTGCTGCTGCTGCTGCTGCTGCTGCTGCTGCCGCGGCTTGATACAGGTTATCGCTGTTATTATCTGAGGTACTGCTGCTGCCGCTGCTGCTACCGCTACTGCTGCAACCCACTCTCTCAGAAGCTTATCCTGTTTCTAATGGATGCTGCCCGGCTGAGTATGCCGGGCCGCGCTGGCCTCGTACCTATGCTCCCAGGGTCGCTTCGGCGGTCATGCTTCATCTCTCTACCTCATCTTCTGATTCTATCAGGTGCAGCCGGCCGAGTAGCTGCGCTGAGCCGTCAATCGGACTCCTAATCAAAGGCATCCATACCTGTATTCTTCACTCTTCTGATCGCAGGCTCCCCCATCGTGCTGCCCATCCGGCAGCGGCTCTGAGCGGCACTGAACTCTGGCTCGTCTTCCAAGTACATGTCTGCCCTCCTCGCAGCATCTTCCTGCTCGCCTTCTATGACTTCTCTGCATGAGCGTTTCACTACTGCTCGCTCAACCTTCATGCGGTCCGAGACGCGGCTTCCCGACCATCCTACTATCCTGATTATCTACTCTCCAACCCAAGATTCTAAGCGTAAGGGCGCCTGCAACATCAATGGCCCTCTCCGACATGTCTCTGCCCTTACAGGTCTCCGCTTCTACACGGACGTGCCCCTTCCGTGGGTTTTGGGGGGATTCTTCCAGGACCATTGGGTTGCCGGGCCGTGGCCGCTACTTCCACCGGAGCATCTCCTCTGCCCTACACGAGATATTCCCAGTGGTCGTGGCTGCGCGCCGTGGAATCACGCGTGGCAGAGAAAGAGGATCTCTGTCATGTGTGATAATCTCGACGTAGTGGAAGCATTAAACAAAGGTCGCTCCTTTCACCCAACATAATGTCCCCTGACCCTTTCAACCTTCATCTCAAACATTCAAAGACCAAGGCGCCTGCAACATAATAATAGCTCGCTCCGACACATCTCTCTCCAGACAACCTTCCCATGACAGCAACCTGGTTCAGAGCTCAGCTAAGATCCCTACTGCTCTTCTGCAATTTGTCTCCCCAGCTCTATACAGCCCACTCCTTCAGGATAGGCGCTGCCACGCGCGCGGCCTCGCTGGGGCTCCCCCACCTCTCCAACAGCTGGGGTGCTGGTCCTCTTCGGCTTCTCCCCCTACATCAGCCCAGACGCGTCCGCCATCCTGGCTGCACAACGCCTACTGGCTTCCTCGCAAGCTCCCAGCAAAGCAATACGAAGCAAAGTAAGTGAAGCAATAAGATTCTGGTGGCGGCACGCACTTCTCAAACACTCTCCGCTGCCGCAGCGTCTGACGGAACGTGATGCGAACGCTCACGTTCCCAGCGCGCAAAGATAACCCACGATGCATTACACTCGCCTCCGCTCTCTGAAAGGAAATCTCAACGGACCGTTATTTTTCACCCCCGATCACCTCCCAACGTCATCCAACGGGATCAGAGCCCAACTAAAGTCCGTACTGCTGCTTTGTAACCTGTCTCCCCATCTCTACGCAGCTCACTCCTTCCGGATAGGCGCCGCCAGCAGCCGAGTATCCGCAAGTATTGATCACAGTAGATAGCGGTCACAGCATATAGCGATAGCGGTCACAGCATATAGCGATAGCGGTCACAGCATATAGCGATAGCGGTCACAGCATATAGCGATAGCGGTCACAGCATATAGCGATAGCGGTCACAGCATATAGCGATAGCGGTCACAGCATATAGCGATAGCGGTCACAGCATATAGCAAAAAATGGTTAGCAGCATTGCGCTGGCGGTCACAGCATAGCGATAGCGGTCACAGCATAGCGATAGCGGTCACAGCATATAGCGATAGCGGTCACAGCATATAGCGATAGCGGTCACAGCATATAGCGATAGCGGTCACAGCATATAGCAAAAAATGGTTAGCAGCATTGCGCTGGCGGTCACAGCATAGCGATAGCGGTCACAGCATAGCGATAGCGGTCACAGTATATAGCGATAGCGGTCACAGCATATAGCGATAGCGGTCACAGCTTAGCGATAGCGGTCACAGAATAGAGTAGTCACGACGTCTGTCCCCTCCAAACCAGGCTTCGAAAAACTCCATCAACACGCAGCCTTTTTGGGGATTGTGCGCGCTCATCGCAGGAGCCTTTCCGATCCGAAGGCCGCACCGGGACCTAGGGCGCCAAACCTCCTTTCATAAAATACTCAACTTCCTGTTTCTCGTCTCTCCAAATTGAAATGCAGCCAGCGAAAGTTCAATTTGGTAGACGTTAACCAAAATTACCCCCTCCAGGCCGGCTCTCATCCCCAGCCTATCACTCAGCAGACGCCCCCTTCCAATCATCTGTACCGACTCGCAGCCGCATAAAAACGGAGCAACGCCCACTACCGGCCTCCTGAAGCCTCGCAACCACCGCCTCCCCTCCTCCTCCTCTTCACCCTGCCTCCAATCTGCCTTCAATTTTCTTCCCGCTGCCAAATGCCGCCACCAGTGCCTAGGTCCCGGGGGATTGTGCGCGCTCATCGCAGGAGCCTTTCCGATCCGAAGGCCGCACCGGGACCTAGGGCGCCAAACCTCCTTTCATAAAATACTCAACTTCCTGTTTCTCGTCTCTCCAAATTGAACTGACCAGCTGCATGTTTTCCCTGAGGTTAACTTAAAGTGAACTCCCACCATTAATTCACACCCTTATAAGTATTTTTGTTATGGTGTATATTACAGAAAGTAAACATCACAAAACGTTGTGCAGTTTACACAAATTCAGATTCTTTAGCACCAAGGAGATGATCAAACTCAACAGTGAGTATTGCTTTCATGTTGTTAGACATTTGCTATGACTGAAGGATAACGTCAGATGCTTGGTGTAACTGAAGTACCATAAGAGAGTTTGTAACGGTTTATCAGTAAAGACAATTCAGTATCCTCACTGTTTTACCTTTTTTGAAAAAAGTTTTTCAAGTCCAAACTGTCGCCATTTTCAATTGCTTGCGTGACACGTTTGACAAGCAGTTTGCATGTCAAGAGGCAGTTAACATTATGTCAGGTTCATAATTCAAGGCTCATGTTCTCTGTACTCTGTGGCTTGCCCACTAAATGTATTACCAGTCTTTGTATTGCTGAAAGAATAATGGGAGGGGAGCAGGACCAACCGAGATAAGAAAGAATTTCACCTTGCACGACATCAGACTACGTTTACATAATAAACACAGTTGGAATATATTCCTACACTGCATATGGCTATATTGCAGACCCAGAATAGGTGCATCTAGGTATTTTATTTTTAAAATATGTGGTGTCAATTTGCATGTGTGCGTGTGAAGAAGTTCTATCAGGCGAGTGGTCTGTAGAAGGCCATTATAGACTTAACTCTTAAATCCTGCGCTGGTACAGCTCCTCAGGCTTGACTTTCATTTTCCTTTTAGTGTTGTGCAGGTATGCTCTTATGTATATGCTCTTGAATTGTCCAGCTGTGATAAGAGGCTCCATACTTATCATCAGGTGCTTTCGAAATCAATTCCAGCAGATGTTCAAATGATGTTGTATTCTAGTGTTAGATGTTAATACCATACATATTTATCATGTCCTTTAATGTTTTTACTTTTCTTACAATGTCGGAAAAATCTTGAAATACACTGGTTAGTTGCCTCAAAATATAAGTGGTTTGGAAATGTATTCAGTAATGAGTGGTTCACACATTGTCCTACGGCAGTCCTCCACCTCTCATCAGGAGCTAAGGGATATATTTTCAGGCAGGTGGTGGTTTGTGTTTGTCCCAATATATGTCACACTAACCTCCACTATATTTTGACTTAAACAGGTAGGCTTTGTGGGGGGTCCAACCCAAAGCAAGAGCTCATAATTAGGGATTGGTCAAAAGTCATGTGATGGTGCGTGTGAACCCAGAGCCCACGGGGAGTAGGCGTCACACTCTGCCTGCCTTGTGTTTGTCATGTTTTATAAAGACTGCCAATCTTGTCTTTGTTCTTGGAGACACAAGTGACAAACATGGAGGAAAAGGAGAATCTTTCCTGGTGGGAACAAGCTCAGGTCAGGGGGCGGACAGTCACACATGCACAGCTGAAAGAATATAATCTAATCTCAGAGGTGAGCTTTCTGACTTCGTCTCTGTGACTAAAACAGTTATTTTGTCAACATTTTTTCTATGCTTTAATTGACAGGACAGTGTCGACGTAAAATGGGGAAAGAGAGTAAACACAATAAAAAGAACTGTAAAACAACCTAATTACCTCACAATTAACAAAGGTAAATATATATATATAAATACAGTATATATATATATATATTCATATCACAGATGGATAAGTATTTGAATTATGTGTTTATTGTGACGCAGTGTGACTAATGAAAATTACGTTTTTATAATTTTATTCATATTCTAAGGTTTGAGATGTATCTTTATGGGTTTATCATTTGAACCGAAAGTTTTACTTTACTGCTGAGTTTCACTATATCAGCACTAAAGCAATATTTTGTTGGGAATAAACAGCTACAAAAGTATACTTTTTCAACCCTGATACTAGCATATTTTATTATTGTGTCTTGATGTTTAAAATACTGTTGGTAAGCAAAGTTGTTCTTTTCACCTACAGTTCTCATATTAATCCAGGTCCTCACAAGTAGTATAGTTTTTCATGTTCAAAGAAGTCTCCAAAAGCTCATATTACAAACAGGTTTACAGCCTTGGATTTGGAGTACACTTCAAATAAAATACCTGACTGCTTCAAATGAACAGGGATCTTGTTTGTAAAACAAGCACACAATAGTGTCCATTTCTTTATTTTTTGTTCAGGTTACTTGGGATGAAGATGAGAGTATACAGTAGGCCTATTTTTTTTGAATGTGTTGTTTTACTCAACATCTCCTTTTGTTCTCTGTGAAACCCATAACTCAATGAAAGAATGCGCTCTATGTGAACTGCTTTCTTTAAATTATGTGGATTATCAATATGTAGACGGGAGCAAATGTTGCCCCCTTGTGGAGTTTAGTTTATTAAGATCCCCATTAGCCACTGAGATGCAATGGCTAATCTTCCTGGGGTCTCCTCAAAATCATTACATGCTTTTACATATTTTTATACATAAATCACACACACACTCACACACACACACATACGACGATATGACAGCTCAGTGAGAAATCATTTACAACTATGAAAAAATAAAAAATAATAATAATAATAATAATAATAGTAACAAATGAACTTTCTCCAGTGGTTTCAGTCCAACTCAAATATAAAATATTATATTTGATGTATAATTAATGTTCATGTGTGAAAAGATATAGCTTTAATTTCTTTTGAAAATGAATTCTCTCACTCTCTTTGATCAGAAAGGAGTGGAGTGACATTTAGACTTGTATTTTAAGCTTTAGTGCGGATTAAATAAAGATACTTATTTGTGTCATAAAAATCTGTGTACCATGTGTTCATTTGATTTGAATTCAATTAGGAATATAAAAGAAATAAAAAGGAAAACACAGGGGCAAATGGACTGTAGAAGGCAGAAAAAACATCTGTTCAAATAGGCAATTTCTTTCCTTTGCTGTGTGTATAATGTTAATCAGTCTATTGATCCATCCATCAATCAGTTTGTTACATTGTAAAACTGATGCTTATTTGACCTAATGTCATCCTCAAAGGTGCTGTGACTATAACAGTCAAATAACTCACAATTGGTCAAATCAACTCATGTTTGTAGCTACAGCGATGTACTGAGGTCAGTTGCGTGCAACCTCTCCTGTTTTTAAAGGGAAATAGTTTCCTGTTCCGTGAGTGTGTTGTGATAAGGGCTCAGTGATGGTGTGAATGTGTTTACAAAATGCTGACCATGGAGGGGCTTTCTGTGACTGTGGTCACTGCACTTCCTGCTTCCTTCTTCAGATTACATGTGGAGTTAACACTGACTATATTGTACAACTTTAGTTACATTCATGTCTTAGGAATTCACTCCAGAAATGTGAGAATACAAAACATAGTTATATATGCTATATTGGTCTGTCTGTCTCTAAAATGTGTACATAGGCAAAGTGGTGTTGTTACAGTCCCGTTATTTCAGTGTTTTTATGTATGCATGTACAGTATGTGTTTGTTAGCCTCTTTGCAGCTCTACAACATTATAGTAGTAACAATAATAATAATATATTCAGTGTAACTAAAATTATAAAAACAAAAATTAAAGCTGAAGCAAACCACTCCACATAAGTGCTGAAAAGGGAGTGTATTGCCTCCACTGCTGGTTGTGAGGTGCTATCCATGGATCTATGTGCAACACAGTTGACTTCACATCCCATGAGATACAATATAAAAGGTTCTGACAAGAAGCTGATTAGTGAGATGGTTTTTACTTTTTAATTTAACTTGTTATAACAATTAAGTTAATTGTTTTTTTATATTGAGGCTATACCGCACGTACATCTTTAGTTTGTATTATTAAGAAACCATTTCTAAAATGCATTCTTGTATTTTGGGACAGACCATTTCTCTTAGAGCCAAAATGGACCAATCGATCCAAATAGACTTGTGGTCACAGCTTGGGACACTGTACTTTGCACTCCCAAAGCATTAACAGTTGAACTTTTTACACAACACGTATGTATGACTCCTCCAAGACGTTTTGAGATGTATAAATCAGACCTAAAATGCACTTAGTGCTATGGTGGCTCTGTTGGGATGCACTTCCATATGGTCTTAGAGTGCCCAGGGTGGCTCAGTTCTTACAGAGGGTGGCCCTTCTCTCCCCGTTGTCCTATCTTCCAAGTGTCTTGGCTTGGCCTCTTAAAGGCACAGAAAGAGTTCTCCAGGCCTAACAGCAGGAAAGTAGATTGCTTGTCATTGGAAGCCTCTTTCCACACTGTTCAACAGTCTGAGTTCTGTTTTTTGTTTATTATTTTGTATTCTTAGTGCTATGTGTATGTGTGTTGTATCATTCTTGCGTTTGCATTATGTCCTTTTTGGTGTCGTTAACTTTTTTGATGGGGATACCCAAAACAGCTTTTTTTTGTTTTTTTTGCAACGTTTTGGAAATCGTCTGAAAACCTATACATTATCTTCACTTGGGGGGGGGGGGGGGGGGCTAATTGTCATGTTTTTGAATGGATTTTCTCAGTGCATCTCATCGGTTACTTCCCAGTCGGTGAAGTGCCTCGCATATGGCAGTGTGGAGAGGAGGATGCTCGGAGCTGCAGGCAGTTACAAGTGGTGCATGAGTTGCGCGTCACCTGTTGGCCACAGGGCTGCGCTCACACACCATAACCCGCAAAGAGCAGGCTCATCTGCGCATGCGCGATCTTTCCAATGAGCGGAGACCATTTCCTCCAGTAGAAGGCCGCAGAGAGCTTCTCCACACGCAAACAAACATACACCCATGCAGACCAGGCACGCCAATGCACAGCCACATCTGGAAGTAACTTATCTTCTCCGGTGTAAACCTTGATGACCTCGGTCCAGGGCAGAGCTGCTGATGGGCCATTGTCGCTGGACAGCCGCAGTGTCTGAGTGAGTGTCCCACACCGCCGCATGAGGAGCCCTGTGTGCTGTTGTGTTAGCGAGGGCTACCATGAACACTCCGGGTAATGCTGTGCTTCTGGCTATATCTCATGACACTGGTTATTGTCACAAGTTTATGTTCGTGTTAATCCAAAGTTGTCTGTGAGCTACTAGCGTTAGCAGCTAGTGGAACGTCACTAGGTCCATTATCGGACAATTTGAGCCTTCTTAGAAATGTGAAGCAAATCTGATCACAATAAAGAAAGACACGTACCATGTTTGGGCCCTAAATATGACAACGTCTCTCTTTAATGGTTATTATTCTTTCATGGTTTTGGGGGGCTGTGGCTAAAAGCTCCCCTCAGTTTGGACGGACCATCCCCTTTGTACCACAGTCATTGTTTCAATAATTCTGCCTCGTATGGGATTAATGGTACAGGTTCGACAATTACATGACGCTAAGTCTAGATGGTGCTCTCATTAAAACATGCCGTTTAAGATTGTGATTTAGCTGTTTCTCCCCACATATCAAATTATCTGTGTAGCGATAGATGTTGACAGTCTAGGTGTGAGGAGAGGCCACCAAACATCTCCAATGGCAATGATCCACCCTCAGCTGAAGATCAGTGATGCTGCTCTGCGAGGAGCTCCACCAAAACAATGACTTATCAAAGGTTAATACAGTGGATCTATGCAGTTGGAAATGCATGGTAGTCGTCTCATAGGTCAATGATTGGCCTGTGGCTGGTAGAGATGCGGTTGGAATAGAGACATGTATTTGTACAATGTGGTAGAGCTTGTATTGGAGCTATTCAGAGTTCCACGTTTTTTCCGGAGTAAGCATATGCCCATAGCCTGACAGTGGACAGCTCTGTGGCATGTATACTGTTGACAGGAAAACATTCCCATTTCATGTGTTCTAGTCATCCAAAAAAAGGCAATTAAATCTGTCAACAAAATATTGTTGTATATAACACTGTTTATATACTGGAAAATAGGAAGAAATACTTTACGTGCATTGACATTTGAATGAATATACAGTTGATAATATGCAACCCTCTACATTTAGAGTTCTCAAGTTACAGATGATGTTGAAGGACCAGACTGGATATTTTGTTGTTTGCCTTCAGTATTTGCCATCTTATGCCAATTCAAATTTTGATTTTAATGTGCAGTATAAATGCAACCTTGTGTGGATTTATAGTAGCTCTCGAAATTACTAATACACTTACTAATTATTAATACACAATTAATTACAAATGACTAATACACAATTACTAATACACCATTGTCACATTTTGTAAGGTTTACAACCATAACGGTTTTATTTTTATTTGTTTACTGAAAGTTCTCACACATAGGAACAGACAACTCTGAAGTAAAAGTAAAATGATACATGGTTATTTTAAAGAGAAAGTCAAAAGAAGCCCATTCAATATGTGTCACATTCACTGTACTGAGTCACTGTGTTCCAGAGCCTCATGCTGTTAATGTACAGATGTAAACATACTGCTGCTAATGTACAGATGTAAACAAACTGCTGCTAATGTACAGATGTAAACAAACTGCTGCTAATGTACAGATGTAAACATACTGCTGCTAATGTACAGATGCTAACATACTGCTGCTAAGATGTACAGATGCTAACATACCTACACTTTGCTCGCACTATAATACACTAGAATATGTGTATACTTCTTAATTATGTTCAAGATAGAGATTTTATACGTGTTTCTTTGATGCTAGAGTTAGAGTTTTTGTCTTATTTTAATTAGTATATTTATTGTTCACTTATCTTGTGCTGTGTGCTCTTTATTCCTACTGTTCTGTAACTTGTGATGCAACACTGAAATTTCCCTGCTGTGGGACGAATAAAGGATCTCTTAATCTTAATTGCCTTTAAATAGAGGCCTCCTGTGTGTAATCTACTCTTAGTATAAATACAGATGTTCTGTGAGGGCCTCAGAGCTATGGTCGGAGTGTGTTGGTCACACATCATGAGGCCAAAGAGCACTCCAGAGAGGTCAGGGATAACGTTTTGGAGAAGTTTAAAGCAGTGTTAAGTTACCAAGGTTTTTGAACATGGTCCACCTAAACTAACCAAACAAACAAGGAAAGCACTGCTCCAAAGGTCAACCAAGTGCATCATGAAGATAGGGCAGCACGGTGGCTGAGTGGATAGCACTCTTGCTTTTCAGCAAGAAGGTCCTGAGTTTGAACCCCGCTCGGAACAGAGCCTTTCTGAGTGGAGTTTAAATGTTCAGGTTTCCTCCGAATGCTCCGGTTTTCCCCTACCACTAAAAACATGCACAATGTAATGATTGACCGTGTGTGGAGTGATTGCAACAATATCTGAACTCTGATCATTGTTATGCGCTTTGGGTGACCTTGGTCTGTAAAATGCGCTATATAAATAAACATCAGTTTTATATAAATAAACATTACCAGTGTTTCCCACAGGTTTGAAGGCAATGTGTGGTGGTCGTCGGCGGGGGGGGGGGGGGGGGGGGTGGTACAGTGGTAGAGGACAATCTTGAGGTCATGAATCCAGTGAAATCAGTTGCACACCTTTTTACAGTGAAAAGTTACAGTAGATCAAATGTGACATGTTTTGACCATTTTTAGGCTATTTTGGACCAAAATGGCTACTTTACCTCAATATTTCTACACTAAAAGTGTCTGGTCTTTGGTACAGTGGTAGAGGACAATCTTGAGGTCATGAATCCAGTGAAATCAGTTGCACACCTTTTTACAGTGAAAAGTTACAGTAGATCAAATGTGACATGTTTTGACCATTTTTAGGCTATTTTGGACCAAAATGGCTACTTTAAATCAATATTTCTACACTAAAAGTGTCTGGTCTTTGGTACAGTGGTAGAGGACAATCTTGAGGTCATGAATCCAGTGAAATTAGTCGCACACCTTTTTACAGTAAAAAGTTACAGTAGATCAAAAGTGACATGTTTTGACTATTTTGGAGGTATTTTGGACCAAAATGGCTACTTTACCTCAATATTTCTCAATATTTCTACAGTAAAAGTTTCTGGTCTTTGGTACAGTGGCAGAGGGCAATAATAAGGTCATGAGTCAAGTGAAATTAGTCGCACACCTTATTCCAGTAAATAGTTACAATACTTGAAAATTGCACTAGCGGACCAAATTGTGTACTTTATACATGTAAACAATAGAGTGGCTATCCTCCTGAGGACTCACAATCTGCCGGAGGAATCGTAGGGGGCTGGTGCTATGTGTGCCGGTGGCATCTCTATAAGGTTTTAATCACAAAAACGTGTCTCCCTGACCCCAGCGCGCTTTCTGTTCGATAAAAATGGGTGACTCCGAAAGGACGTTCCGCTGTTACCGTAAGTTCTCAACAAAACGCGCACCGTCTTTTCCCCGATGCGGGCCGCATGTTCATAGAGCTGAAAGATGCGGGCCACTTTACCGCGGTAAATTAATAGACACAGCTGCTTACAGCGATGATCGCTGATGGAGACGGAGACACGCGGTGTGCACGAAGGGGAGGGGCTGTGTGTGTGTAGGTCTCTGTATGTGGGAGAGACGCGTAGCTTGAGTGAGAGTTACGAAGGGCCGCCACATTTTAAACCCCCCTCCCCGCTGTCAAATTGACCGCTGCGGCGGCACTAGACGATGCATGTTTTAAATAGCGTAACAAAAAAAATATATATATAATAATACGAAACGCAATTTGTGGCGGGCGGTCTCTAATCTGTGGCGGTGCGCCACAGATTAGTCTATGTGTGGGAAACACTGATTACATTACATGACTCTGGAAGAGCTGCGAAGTACTGCTGCTGAGCTGGGTGAATCTGTACATGGGGCAACTATCAGTCGTACTCTATACAAAGCAGGCCATAAGAAATCCTGTTTGAAGTTTGCCAGAAGTCATATGGCTTTTTTGGCCCAAACGTAAAATGTCGAGCATGGCGCAAATCTAACTGCTAATTTACACAAGAGGCGTTAACCTATGGTGATATTAGCACGTATAACACTATTAGTGTTATACACGCGTATGACGCGAGGCTGCACCTAAATTGGGATGGATTTCTAAGTTTGTGCGCACAGTAACGCGTCTCCCAGTCAAAACACATGGGAAACAAGATTTTTCTTGAAGTCCTTGGCTCCAGATCAGCTCCACACACACAGCACTTGCATCTAAACATTAGGTCAGGTTTCACAGTGATTCTAGACATTGTATTTTTTTTCTTAAAGTCCTACGTCTGGTCAGACCAGCTCAGAGAGACCATGAGGACAAACGCATACATGTGATTTGTGTTGCTCTACATCAGTCCTCTACACGTCTCCATAGACTACGCAAGGACAGCATCAGAAGTCGCGTATCTGCGCGCACAGCCAGTATACACACAGCCGTTAACGCCTACTGCGAAAATTCCCAGTAACAACCATCCCCAGTGTCAAAGATGGCTGGAGGAGCATCACGCTACATGGCTGCTTTTCTTCAGTGGGGACTAGGAAGATTGTAAGATAGAGGGAGCCAAATACAGGGACGTTTTGAAGGAAAACTTGCTAGAGTCAGCAAGAAAATTGAGGCTGACGCCTTCCAGCGGGTCAATGACCCTAAACACATAGCTAAATCTACTTTTTCAAATGGTTTCACAATAAAAATATTAAAATTCACTAAAATTCATTAGAAATACACGTGAGAACGGGATTCAGGTCTTCACTTGAGCCGCTCTGTGTCATTAACTTTGTCCCACTCTTGTCAATTGACTGCTCGTCTGCAGTTGTCACCGCTTGATATGGACTAAAGGTGACAGGGCAATTGTGCAAGCCTGGCTACTTGTCACTCACATCTCATACTGTTACTATTAACTATGAGGAAGGTTAACTTGGGGTTACCTCTCATGTTGGGCTTCTTTTATGTGAAACGTGGATTATTGAGATTAATTTAGCTAGTTACATTAAATTGGCTTGTTACATTTATTTCAAACCTGAAAAGGTTTCTTCAAAGCTATTAGCTGAGCTCCCACCATTTTCTACATAGCCAAAA